AAGACAACAATAATAGATAGAGACAAGATAGTGAAGCTCAATTTTATATCATTCGACAGAAATAAATATATATTGAATCTTATCAGGGGCGTAAGTCAGGTGTCGGAGTAGGGGGGGGGATGTAGGGGGGGCGTAAGCCCAATTTTTCTATTTTAATGGTCAAAAAAAGTGAATTTTCTAGAAGCAGGGGGGGGCGCAAACCCTTTTTTCCTATTAGTTTTCGGAAGCAGGGGGGGTTATGCGCCCCACGCGCCCCCCCTATTTACGCCACTGAATCTTATATTTGATACACTTACGATAAGCTTCACCTAGAACTACAACCAAGTTTTCAAAAAAAGAATTTGCTTTGCTTCCTTGCCAAGCGACTGTTTTTGCAGAAAATGTAGCTAAAGATCTGGATGTAATTCGTCATAAGCATGTCCAAAAAAAAGATTCAACGCATATTCATCTCCTTTTTCTTTTGTCTTTGTCGAAAGTAATATTTATTGATCTGTATTACACTTGGGAAGAATCTCAATTTTTTTACTAAATATAAACATGTCAGTGAGTACTTCCTTATATACGGCGAGTATGAATATGCAAGAATTCTGGCGCTAAAAAAGCCTAATGTAATATATAATGTATTTACAATATCAGTTATTTTATTCTCGTATATAATAAGCATAAGGAAATTCACATTTTAATCATTATGAAAATCAGTTTTTTTTTTTCGTGTTCTCATCAATGAATTTCGGTGGAGATCGTTCACGTGTGATAATAATTAACGACACACATACATCTGAGTGTCATCACCACACCAGTTTCGATCATCACAATTAAATAAATTTGATATGCAGTAGCTATTTCTACATCGATACAAACCATCACCACGTGAACATGTATTGACCGCTATCAACAAATAAAAACTATACAGTTATCAATAAACTAATTATAAAATAATACTTACGGAAATTAATTGCTGCCATAACTTGAAATCCGCTACCGACTTTTCCATCTGTATTGGATATAAACTGAAAAACTGCTGTATTCGAATTTATTGTCTACAAGAGAAATAATAAAAAATAGATTTGATAAGTTTAACAAATAATTAATTTACACGAAGATAATATTTGTTTTTTTCCACATTGTTGTGATTGATTTTTATTTAATATTGTTCCTTGATCAATTTTTCCATCGTATATTACAAGTTTATCGCCACCACATGCAATATCCATCTTATCAATAACAATAATAATACGTTGATTTGATGTTTGTCCTTTGATTGTTAAAATACAATTGAGATTTTGTGCATAGTTACCTGAACTCAAACTAAAATATGTCCCTGGCAATTTATCGCCGTCCAGAATGATTGTTTTATCACAACTTTTATCCATATCTATGAATATAAAATTTAGATTATTCTCTGAAATAGTATTGACTTACTTGGAGAGCTAAATTTTGAACCAGTACTACGAGCCCATAATATGGATGGTAATAACATTAAAAATGACACGACGACCAGTTTGTCTGGGTACATTTTTCAGTTCTAGAGAAATACGTATTTTGTTTCTGTTTTTATAGAGCAACAAAAAAAAACACATTTATTCATCGTGTATATATATATTATCGAAATTGTTTGTTTTATTTTAATAATGCATGACTGGACGAAAGGTAGTCATGTAGACATTAATTTTTTCTTTTCTTTCTCGATATTATAAATCGTAGCGACGTAGTAAAAGAAAAATTTTATTCTTGTTGTTGTCAAATATCAAAGTCCATTAAGTATCGGTGATGCTATGAAAAAAAAAAGAACGTATTTCTCTCTTAGAAACGAACGATGTGAATGATTATGCGTCATTACAATAATGTTTATTAAACTATTCATTTTTGTTTAGAAATAACTCCAAAAAACCTGCCTTACTCTGTAAAATAAAACATAAGTAAAGACGATAGAAAAGTTTATTTTAGAACTCCCTATACAAATTTCAGAATTAATTTCTTGTACTTTCTTTGACTCTTTAATTGAATAATTACGAAGATATTCATATCAGCTTTTTTCTCTCTGTTGTCAATGAGATGATCTTATTGAGATTACATGCTGATGCAGTAAAATCCTTCGGAGCAAAAAGAATTGAAATGATTTTTTGAATACATTATTTGAGTGTTTCTATAGGAATGAACTTTTCGAGGAAAAATTAGTCAATACAAAGCCTTCCATCCTTCATATATTTCGTTTATTTCTTATTTATACACGTTGTTATGTTATCCTTCTTGTCTCTTTAGTTTAGACCTTGTCTATGTCTTTGTATGGGGGAGGATAGTGAATGCAAATAGAAAGAGATGGAAAAAAACGTAAATGGACAGTTGAAGATTATATTACATTCAGTAAAATTTTACGTATGAGCTATATCAATCGGTAGCTACATAGATGGAGAATAGATTCATTAGTATGTAATATCAAACGAATTTATTATGAATGACAAATACTATTCCTATCAATTGTTAATGTTTGATACATGTGTCATCTAACATTGCTATTATGCATTTTGTTTCTTGTACTTCACTTGAAAATGATCACCTTAAACCGAAAATTTTCATTATTTAATATAAAAAAAATATATATATATTTCATTATTTCAATTATTCTCTTTATCGAATATTTTTCGTCATTACTATTACTAATTAACCATAATAGTATACCAATAGAATAATAATAATAAATGAATCCTATATTATAAATAATTATAATCAAAATTTAGTAAACATATTTCTTTTTCCATTAAAGTTCTATTGTCGGTCTACATTTCCTCTTAGGTTTTTTTTCTGTTCATAATATATACGCATATAAATACATTATTTTTCTTTAAGTATTATTATCTTATCTTATTATATCATTCTTACAAATTAAAGAAAAATACGCGACACATACATATGACATCACGATAGAAAAAGCAAATTATTTTTAGCAATATCATTATGTATGCTTCGAGAAACTCGTCGTATTTTAGACGCCTCTTCAAAATATGTCATTAGAATTAGAAATACAAAGAGAAAGCGAATGATGTCAAATTTTATTCAATCATTCATATGACATTTAATGGAGTGATGAGACGGCAATCTCACAAACAGAGGCTTGTCTATCTGCTTGTCAGAATCCTACCCGTTCAATACAATATCTGAAAAGAAATACAGACGTTTATTTGCCAATAAAGAATATGATGTTTGAGGTGAACCGGAAGAAAGCTTGAATAAACAAGAAAATACATGGATGCAAGAATTTGAAAAGTATAAAGAAGAAGAAGAAATCCATTCCATCAAAATATTTACATCAATGTCAAACGACTAACGAAGACTATATAATGACTAAACAAATATTCGAGCACTTCTTTTTTTTTTGGTACTACATCATCTTGTACCACACTCAGCATATTAATCTATGATTATTACTTATGAAATAATTAATGAGACGTTAAAAATACACACTTTCGATCTGGTTTCAAAAGTCTCTTTCGAAAATATAGTCACAAGCTAGAAATACAATCCATTTAATAATCTCGTTTTTATGAATACTTTAATAATCATGAAAGGACAGTTGGCAAGATGCGAATTTAACTGAAATAAGAAAAGTAAAGGTATGAAAAGTTTGTCAACTGAACAAATTATTATTAGAATTACTATTGTATGAATTTATATAAAACCACTGCTGTCATATTTCTTTATAGTATAGTAAAGTAACGGCAACTAATGATATTTTTCCTCGTCAATTTTCTCTCTTTACTCTTGCAAAGTATAATGCATTTTTATAGAATGCTTTTAATTTAAAATAGTGTACGTATTTGTAAATAGGTTTTGGCAGTTGAACGTAAATCACAAAATAATGAAATAAATGAATTATATTCTTAAATATTTCATATTCGAATGTATTTATATTATAAGAGAAAAATAGAAAAAGAATGTAACATATGTTAGTTTTCTTTTCTTACACATATTTGTACATCGAAATTTTTGTTTTTGTTTTATAAGAAAATAGAAATTATTTTTATCTTGTTTTTCATCCTAATATTAGAGTAGAAGTTTGTTTCTAAACAATATTATCTATTCACATGCATAAAACATGAGAGTGTGGTAAATTTGTGAATAGAAATTCTCTTGGGATCATAATATTTGTTTTATCACATTTTCTCATACAGTATATGATTAGACAAGGGAAATAGAAAACTAAGGTTAATGAAGAAGAATGGAGAGCATACGCAAAGTGAATAGTCACAATATTCATGGAAACAAGGAGAAAAATAAAAGAAATTATTCAAAACACGATAGAATGGACTTAGAGAAAGAATTAATAGAACAATTTATTTTCAAATAAATCGACTTTTTTAAAAAATCATTTCTAAGATTTCTCTAATGTAACTATAGAATTAAGATGATGTGAAGTTCATGATTTTGTTGAAATCAGTCAACAATTACCTCTTCAGCCATAACTACCCTTAATAATAATTATTATTAATTATCGAGCGAAACAAACAAAAAAGTAAAAATAATAAATATTACTCATGATAATTATTAAAAAAAATTATTTATAAATTAAATTATTTTCATTCTATTATTTCATTCAACAATTTCATAACAAAAAAAAACATATTTCAATTGTTAAATATCTAGACGATATTTTTTATTTGTTCGATAAATTAACAAATATAATGAGTATATCATTATCGAATAATGAAAAAATTGAGAAAATTAGAAAATATTGACTGTAAACATAATTTATACAATTATGTTCTACTTAAAAAAAAAGTACTTGCAAAGAAAATATTCTTTGTATCGTTTTTTTTTATGATTTCTATTTATATGAGTCGAGTATATCATAAAGTAAAAAACATGTGCATCTTGAGGAGAAGAAAAATAAGAAACATGCACAAATAAAGAGAAGAAAAGAAAAAGAAAAAGTAAAAAGAGATATTATTCTACCCAATTGACAGGCGTCATTCGTTCCGTGCGAATAGACACTATTACTACTAATATAACTTTATTATTCCAATGGTATGTAATAAATATATTTCTTCTCGTTTCTTGTCATTAATATTGATTTATTCATGTCTTGTTTTCTTATCGATAATATATTTATTCTACTATCGCTTCTCCTTTCAAATAGCACTTGTAATTGTTTTGATAATATGTATTCTTCTTTTTCTTGTTTCTTGTTTCTTGTACTATTAAAAAAAAGAAAAGGCAGCGATGTCTTTTAACTTGACCTTTCTTTAAGTTAATATAAATATATTTGTTATAGTTTATTCATAATAGAACAAGATAGAAAAAAGGTACAAAGATTAAACGATAAGGCAAGTGTATATGTTTCAGTTTTGCTTTATAATTAATACTTTCATACTGTTTGATAAAATCTATTTTATAAACAACGAATTCTATTGATTTAATGAGCAAAACAATTATAACTGAACCTTTTCGAAATTATATAAGTATATTAAGCGGAAAAATCGAATTGTTCTCTTTTTTATTTAAATTTTATTATTGAATTATCGTTCTCAGTGAAGTAAAGGTTAACACTCAACGTACTTCTTTCATCTGATTCACCTTGAATTTTATTTATTAGACTAAAGTAATTGAGCAGTAAGAATCTAAGTAATTTCAAAAATAATATTTCGTTTCTTTAATTGTTCTCTTTAATTTCGATAGTTTTCTAATAAGAAAAGTTTGTGATGAAACTAGTATTACATATTAAACTATATATTTATCTATTATTAATTTCTATTCGATAGAAAATATTAGATCTTTTATTTTAAAACTAAAAAAATGAAAAAAAAATCTCTTTTTCTATATAAAAGATACATTTCTTATATACATCTTGTCGAAAACATTCTCTTCTCTCTAATATCTAGTTAACATTTCTTTTGCTTACAGAGAGTAATATGACATTTCCTTAGGCAAGAATATGTTTTGAAAAAGAAAGTCCAGACATAGTAGCAGAAGATCATATATTTGTTAATTAAATGTTTTTCAATAATATTGACTTTTAAAACAAAATCACAAATATCCATCGGCAAATGAGACTGTTCTTCAGTATGATTTTTATTAAATATTTGTAAACTATATTCTCGTAGATGATAAGTTTTGATAAAAGAATATATTTATTTATTTGCAGATAATTTGATTTGATAATTATCTATGTGTTAATTTAATATATAGTGTACTGATTCCTTGGAGAAGTTCTTATTATATGTAAAAATAAAATTGAAAAGATATTCTGCATTAGATGAAATATGAGATAAAAGTAACGAATAGATTATAATCTTTGATAGAAATAATTTTTCTATGAGAATTTTATTTGTATAAAAAGTAAATATTTGATTTATTTGTAGAAATATGGAACTGTTTTCCTTAACTATCAATACAACAATCACAGATGTTCAATGGCAAGCATATCCAATTGGCTTCTTTCTTTTACTTCTATGCTTATTAACAATCTTAGGTAATTTATTAGTATTATATGCAATAATTCGTGAAAAGACATTACATATCTCAACATATTATTATATTGCGTCATTGGCATTTGCCGATCTTTTAGTTGGATTAATAGCTATGCCTTTTGCATTTATATTTGAAATGACTGATGATGAATATTGGTTATTTCGACGACATTTAAGATTCTTATGTGATTTTTGGCATTCAATGGATATATTTGCATCAGCCGCATCAATATTTGGATTATGTGCTATTGGATTAGATCGATATATTTCAATAACAAAACCAATGTTATATCCAAATTCATTTATATCAAAAAGATGGTATTATATGTTATCAATAATATGGATTGGATCAGCAATGATATCTTTTCCAGCAGTTATTTATTTTGGAACAGCACAAACGACAAATCGTATGTGAAAAATCATTTAAAATTTTCATTAGCAAACAAAATCTTTTTTTGCCTATTCATTCGATTAGACCTTGGCTCATGAATCGTTATGTATGTGAGTTCCGTATTAAAATTCTTCCCTACCAAACATTTCTCTATAGAAATTGATAGTTAAACTCAAATATTAAATATGAAGAATAAAATCTAAATGAATTATTCTATGTCACTCTGACAATTTTCGTATATTTACGATAAATATATTAATAGTTGAGTCATTTTCCGTTCATCTGTTCTGTATTTTTCTTTGGATAGAAAATTCTTCAATAATATAGTTAAGTTTTAAAATATTTAAGACTACGTTGACGATGTTCTATAGTGAAAGTTTATAGTTTTCTCTAAACCCTTTCAGGCCTAAATTATTTTTTGCTGAATTCAATTCAACTAGTTTGTTAAAACAGCTTATTTTAGTTACAGAAACACATACCATTAATAACCCGTGTATTCTCCCATGCTATCTTCATCATAAAAATCGGAAACATCTCATCAATAGATGAGTTGTTTGTTATACTTTCTTGTTAAAATCTATTTCTATCCGTTCTCAAGATTAATTATATTTGATGAGTAAATTACGGAGGAATGTAGTACTTCGTTTCGATTGCACACTAGTCTTTGTAAATATAGACTGATAAAAAAAACGCCACTTTATATACTTTCTTTGAAGGAGATCTGAGAGTGTGCATAGAAAAAAAATCCGATAAAATCACGGTATTTTTTTAAAGTCTTTCCTTTGGTGTTCGAGAAATTTTTTCAAGAAAAGATTATGTATATTATATGTAGGTTATTAGAGATTCTGCTCTTAAGAAATATTTTTTTTACTTTTAAAACAAATAATGTATACACATACAACTACATTAGATCGTACACACAAGAGAAAAAATATGTTTATATCGTATGTCAAGCGCTGAGAAGAAGAACAAAAATCACATGAAAAGAAAGTGACATGCATTCGAATAATATTATAGGTTGAAAAAGAAAAGATGTAAAGGTGATGTTTGTCACGGAAATATTCTGCAAAAGTTCTACAACGCTCTTTATCTCTTTTTGTTAAAAGATTCTGTACTTATTTTTATAAATTTTGTCATGAAAAATAATTAGAAAACATGTGTTACTTTTTTTATACTATAGGACTCAAAGGGTAAATTCAATAAAATCTTTCTCAGAAATTCTATTTATCAATCGAAAAAGAATAGTTCATTTGACAGTCTTTTGATTTCTAATGTTAACTCAGTTTATTTTATTTAGGACGCCTATCTATGTCAAATGGGACAGTAGTAACGCAATTGTCACTCTTTAAAGAATGTGATTTTCCAAATAATACTTATTATATGTTATTCGTATCTGTTGTATCATTTTATGTTCCATTATCAATAATGATGTATGTTTATGTTCAAGTATATATAGCAGCTAAAAAACAAGTTTTAGCACTTCGTTCTGGTTATAAACATCATTATCGAATAAAATCTGCCAAATCATTTATTCCAAAATTTCGTTTAAAAGAAATTTCAAATAAAAATGAAACATATATAAAAAACGTCGCAGAAACAAATGAAAATGATGTTCATCTAACAACAGATATGTTAATAGAAAATCGTCGACCATCACCAGATTTAATAACACTTCGTATACATCATGGAAAATATCAAAATCCAATTTTAGATTCATTTGATCAAAATGATAAAAATGGAAATAAATCATTTAAAAAAATGAGAAGAAAACGTGCACAAACAAATACATTTTGGAAGAAATTTTCGCGAGATCAAAAAGCAGCAAAATTTATAGGAATTATTATGGGTGTTTTTGTTGTTTGTTGGTTACCTTATTTTGTATATTTTCTTTTGAGTGGTGTTTTTAAAATTCGTTTGAAAGATGAAAATTATCATGAATTATTATTTAAAATATTTTCTTGGTTAGGATATACAAATTCAGCATTGGATGTACTTGTATATGTTTTTACTTCCAAAGAATTAAGAACAACATTTTGGAAATTGTTTATACCTCGAACTTGTAGACGCAAAAATGGAACAAATTAATTCTTTATTTAGTCTTATTTAAATGTATTTATTACAATAATAAATCTTTTTACGACAAATATTCTCTTTATATTAGCGATGTAAACAAATATTTATCGAAGATCATTGAAATGTTCCACAAATTTACTAAAAATCGATGTATTATAGTTTGAATTATTTTTAATATAATTGAAATATAATTTTGTATTTTTTATTCTTTTAAGAGAAAAATAATGTTTTTATTTTATTTTTTGTGAGACTGAAGAAATGTGAAAAGCGTTTTGTATCCACTAAAAGTCGTTCTCTGATATTGCTCAATGATGGTTTACCTCTCAACATGAAGTCTAGGCGCTGATGTTTCTCATTAACCCTGTTTTACTGTCTAGTAACTTGATACACTGAATATGAGTTAAACAAAATTCAACGTATTATTTTAAAAAAATAGAGTAGATTGTTCTTACTTCATCAAAACTTTTTCATAAATCATTTGTATATAAACCACTATGAAAAGCTATATCACACGTGTCGTACGAGACCATTTCTAAGTTAGATCATGATTCATATATAGTTGCATCATCGATATTGATCAAACTTGATAATCCAAAAGTCGTCCGTTAAAGATATATATGTCTCTGAGCAAATCTTCATTACAAAAATGTTAAAATAATCAATAGATCAATGAAATATACGTTTGTCTTATTTGATTTATTCATTCTGATTCATATGAATCTATATTTCTATTAAAAAATTGTAATCATATTGATATACCTGTTCTATTGTTACTCAGTCAACTAATCAATTGAATTTATCAAACAAAAAAATACATAAATTTTGATATAATTCGCTATTATATCAGTGGTATTCATTAAGTTAATATACAATAAATATAGTGTTTCAGAATACTACAAGACGGAATAAAGATACATAGTCAATTTGTTTATTGATTTTATTATCTGTATATAAGTTTTGTGATGTTGAAAATTGAAATAATTAAATTGTGCAATACTACTAATGAATTTGATTTTGATATAATGAAATAGGGTATAAGTAAGAGTAACAGATTGATGTTGTATCATTGACCATCACACATTATTCTCTTAAAATAGTTAGTTCGTTAGAAATTTTCAAATTAATAATATAAATATTCTATTTTTAAATTTCTAGATTTATTTGTTTTCGTCTGACTCATTATTTTCATTTTGTGACACCCTTCTCACGTTCTCAATTTGATACTTACATAACACTCTCAAAATTTTAAAACTCAAATAATACAGTATTTATAATAATAACTTTAAAAAAAAAATTTGCGAGCGTTGATAAAGATCACATATTTTCGTTTGTTCAAAACGATAGAAACCAACAAATTTGTAGCAATAAATACAAATTTAACAGTTTATATTTAGAGTTCTTTTTGGATTCAATGTAGATAATATATGAAGGATCATCATTTGATTTAACTAATATTTGAAGAATATCCATAATTGACATAATGCATATCAACGAAATGTTGTTGGAATTGAAACGATGAGACAAACGCATATGTAATTTTATTTTGTAATAAAACATTATAGAAACATAATGGACGACATAGACAAGAATCGAAATTTATTTTACATATTAAAAATTCATAAGGAGATAAACGTTCATGTTCACGTTGTTGAAAATTTTATGCTAAAATTAATAATAAAAGTTACTTTCATGAGGATTTTTTCACTTACATAAATATTGTTTTGCTTGAAATTCTTGATTATTTACGTCTGCTTGATTCAAAAATGAATTCGAAGACCTAAAAGTGATATTTTCAAAAAAAAAAAAGAAAATTTATCATTCATACCTTTAGCTGTTTCATCTGATTGATGCTATAAACAACTATTGTTATATCATTCAACACAAGAAACAGTTTGACATATGACAAACAAAAGAAGATAAAAGTAAACGCAAAAAAACACGAAAAAAATACAAGAAAGAAACACTTGTATAAATAAAAGTTACTTTTGTTACTCCGGATAATCACACCTTTTAATCCATCGAATAAAGCAAAGGCCAATTTCATTGAGATAATAGCTGTTTAAATTGGTATTTGTCTTCTTATTTGTTTGATTGGTTTATATCTGAGGGTACTATCTTTTAAATTCGCTGATATTGGACCAATTATTGCATCTTTATAGTGTATTAATGGTAATGGTGGATCATTATTTAGACATTGATATACGAAATTATGCCATTCAAATATATTGTTGCTATTGATCAAAGATTCATCCATTTTTCTATAACAAAAACAAAAAAATCAAAGATTAAGAATAACTAATAACTTACTCTCTTGTTATTTGTTCTTGTTTTTCAGCATATAGAAGGCGAACAATTTGATAAGAATTAAATTCATTTTTTGGAATAGAGAATATCAAGCAAGCTGGTCGTTGTTCACCACCAGTTTTGTCAGTTCGATTTTCAGCATGTCTTAAAGCATCAACTAAGTTATTTGTAGTGTAAAAACCGAATCCAAAATCATCAGGACGGGATGCTCTTAGATGTAAATGAATACCATGTGAAATGATTAATTGAGCATTAATTTCTGTGGTTCTATGGTAAAAAAACATTTATTCTTCAGTTGCTTTATCTTTAAAAATTGACATTAAATTTTGAAGATCTTTTTCAGCTGAATTATGTAAATCATCATTGCTGGTATGTATCTGTAAACGACGCGTATATGAAAGTTCACTATCATGTACTGAGTCAAAAATTTGTTCAATCCATTCTTTGCCACATGATGTATCAAAAGGAGTTAACGGACATTGTCGATTGTTTTCTAATCTATCCACAATAGAATATCGAATCAAGTCAATAATACCATAGCCATGTTCATCATTCCATTTGTCAACTTTTTCAAGAATAGTATCAGTAAAATAAGTTGAAATTTCTTCAACTTTTACCTAGGGCGATCATTCCGAATGTCGTTTCCGGCAGGAAACGGCCGTGAACGAATATCGTTTAACACCGTAATCCGTATATCCAGATTTGTATATGTAATCTTGACGGAACGGAAATTATGCAATAACGGAATCTTTAAAGCCGTATACGGTTAAAATACAAACCCTTTTCGATCCGTATTTGGCCGTATGATCTAAAGAGACAGCAACTTTCTGTTACCATCTCCCACTCCTTCCCTACCCCACTCCTGTCTGTCGTCCTAGTGTAACTAAATACTTACCATTTAATTTATCGTTATCGATAATCTAAAAATTAAAAAAAGTTTAAATAAATAAAAATACTTACCGTTCGATTTATCGTTTATTATATTAATAAACAATATAAACTGTTTATATAGCTCATAAAAATCATTTTTGTGAAGTTAAAACACTTAGCTTTATAATTTATTGCAGTATGGATTTAATTTTTCATAGATGGCTCTATCCATAATGTTATTTAGCTAACTAATTGTTTCGACTGTTACCAATTCATTTTTCATTTTATCATTAAGCTTCCATATAAAAAGTAAATAGTAACGAATACATTATCTAATATAGTATATACACCAACTGATC